TACGTGTATACTTATATATATATATAAGTATATATAAGTGTATATATATATAAAATCATCATTTTACCATGTACTCTTTGACAGGAGGGGGAGGGGGTGGTGTCAGCAAAATGATGTTTTGTACTCTAGTAAAAATGAAAATTGAACATAATGTGAGTGTGTGAGATAAATAAGATAGAGGGTGCCGTTAGATCTGCTCAAGATCCTATGACCTTGTCATTAGTAATGTGATGTAAACAGCTAGTTCCCTTTTTTATTCCAAATTTTTACATAAGAAAATGTTGTTTCAGATGTATTTGCTGTTGAAAAAAGAAAACGAAGTGAAACAGATACCAGTACCAATGATGGAACATCTAAAGTAATATCACAATTCATTTTTGATAATTTGTTTAAAATGATTGTATAGTGTTAATGATTGGTCATAGGAGTTTTATTGATTGTTTTAGGAAATAACGTGCCAACAAGTTGCGACACTACTATGTATTCAAATACCTATTTAGAAAAGAAAAATTAATAATAATAATTTTATTTGTAATTAAAACAAGAGGTCGTGAAACAAAAATAAAAAATAAAAAAAGCAAGTAATAATAAAGCAAGTAATAATAAAAGACCAAAAATAATAATAATAATAATAATAACAAAAGGCCGATAAAATAAGTGAAAAAGTACTAACAGCATCAGAACAGAACAAAGAGAATATATAATAAAAGAGAAAAATAATAATTAAAAAATAAATAAAAAAAATAATAATTAAAATTTGATTGAAAGTTTGCTTGGTGAAGGTACACCATGTAAATATTTGTCATCAGGAATCATCCTGATGATGGGACAATTAATGTTTTTATTTATTTTTTTATTTATTTTATTCTGCCTTTAACGTGATAACACTTTCAGTGACGCAGCACTGATCTCACTAGTGGATCACATGAACAAAAAAGTAGAACAAAAACAAACATAAAAAAAATATACAGAAACTTAACTAAAATAAAAAAGAACCAATTCAAATGAATTAAAAAGAAGGCAAGAGAACAGAGGGTGGTCAGAAAGATATAATTAGTTTTCTGTTTTGATCAAAGTTTTGAAATTTTTAAGTTGGAGATCATTTAATTCTATTTTAATTTGGTTTGGAAGTTCGTTCCAAGCCTTAGTTACACGGTATAAGAATGTTCTCTTGCCTTGAGTGAGTTTCCATTTTATCTCCATCAAGGTGTTGTTAGATTTATTCCTAGTGCAATGAGAGTGACTATTTTGATTAAAAATGAATTTGTTACATAGGTAGGATGGGGCAATTCCTTTCAGGCACTTAAAAGTGAGTAATAATAGGTGTTCCTTCCACCTATCAATTAACCTATTCCATCCTAAATCATCCATTAAATCCTTGATGGGTGTTTTAATGTCGACTGAAAGAATAATTCTTCCTAACCTATTCTGGAGAATTTGGAGCTCATTTAAAAAATTAGTTGTAGTGTTAGACCAAATGCAACTGCAATAATCAAATAAAGGCATTACAAGTGCATTTGCTAACATTTTAGTTGTGTTGAAAGGTAGGAACTGTTTGATGTTGAAATATTGAATCCCGACACAATGGTGTGCATTTTGATACTTGGAATATGTATTATACTATCTTATTTGCATGTTATGTATTCAGTAGTAACCAGATTAATCATCTCATTACAGGCCACTGCTTCAGCATCACCAATGGAAGGTAATGATTAATAAAGATAGAATGATTAGGATGATAATAAGGATTCAATGATGAATAGTGATTATAAAGATGTTGATGGTCGATGGTGGTGGTCATGATAATGTTGATACTGATGTTAGTGATGATGAATTTAATGGGGATGATGATAATGATAATACTGAAGATGCTTTGTATTAGATGTTGAATTTACACAATCCATTCCTTTATTTTTATATCCAAAAATTAATTTTAAGTTTCTCTTTAAAGATTCACAGCCGGAAAGAATAGATGCCAGTGTGATAGAAAAGATTGTACCAGTAATGAAAGGCGAATCTATAAAGGATAATTCATTACGGATATGGGACTATGGAGGCCAACTAATCTCCCACAGTATTCACAGGGTATGTTGTATAGTAAAATACTGTAATAATAAACCAATGTGTGGGCGATGACAACCCATTCTGTGGCGACTCAAGGCATATACAGTATTTGAAATAGAGGGGGGCCATGGGACTCACAAATAGGTTGTTAGTACACCTAAGCCCCAACTAGTTGGGGCTGACGACTATAGTTGGGGGCTGAGGTAAGAAAGTTTATGATTACAGCACCTCTAGTTGGCCAGAATTTGCATTCTTAGACTTGATTTGAATGTAATATAATCTCTATTTTTAGAATAAAAAAAGTAGATGGAAGGGGTGGCTGGGTCCAAATTGAATCTGCCACTTTGGAGAATATTTGTTTTCACAATTTTGAAATGACAAATTTTTAAGTAGTGTACGGTTGACTTCAGCGACGCTGACCCAAATTTGGGTGTACAGTATACAATAGTATACGATAAAATATTTTGACAAATCAATCTAAGTGACGTCATATCCATAGAAAAACGATCAAATTGTTGTTACTACTACAATTTTAACATTTTTCCATAAATTATGACATCATCTTATTTCATTTGTCAAAATATTTTATCGTATACACGAATCATCCTTAAAAAAATGAAAATCAACAAAAGCTGAGACTATTTTCATGTTATCCAAAAACCAAAAGGTCCACTGATTAATCTCAAATAATATAGTATATCCCAAGTATCGAAATGCACGCCATCATGTCGGGATTCAATATTTGAACATTAATTATTAATTAATCCTGATAATGAGACAATTAGTGTCGAAATATTGAATCTCGACACGATGGCGTGCAGTTTTTCCATGTTTAGTAGAGTAGATATAGCTCAAAAAAGGCCATAACCCCCAAATAATTGCAACAAAAGGTTTTTCAACGGATTTTGGTAGTATTAGATGTGCTAAATAACATACAAAAAGTATTACAAAATCCGACCACCGGAAAGTGGTTCTTTTCAAGATGGCTGCCAAAATGGCGCCAATATCATAAAACAGCTACAAACTGTATTTTAATTGCGGATTTTATCATCAATATCAGGCTTTATGGGTCAATAAGTCATTTGAGACAATTTTTAATGTGATGACCAATATGAATAATTTCAAAATGGCGTGCAAAACGGCCGCCATGTATAAACAGCCATAAATCAGTTATTATAACTACATAAGCTTTGTTGTTATTTGTCAATGATGTATGTAATTGTAAAAAACATCCAGCATTGTCTTATTTATCATTTAACATTTTCGCTATTTTACCTACTGTATGTCAACAAGTCTTTGGAATAACCTGCTTTAAGAAGCTTTCTGATTGGTTAATTTGTCGTACAGCAATATATTTGACATTAGCAATTTTAGAAAAGTAACACTCAACATGATAAACATGAATAAACAGGCATCAATAAATGAAGATTACTTTGAAGTGTCTTTTCATAATCTCTGGGTGAATGAATCTGTTGCGCCCAAGCACTAAAAACAATATATTTTTGAAAGAAGTTCTCTGATTGGCATAATTGGAAGTTAAACTCGTAACGGTACTGGTTTGGTCTACAGGAGCTCGTGCTTCGTACAGGTCATTCCATTCATAAAAAAAGCCTTTTTCTTGGAAAATGCGTACCTGTCGTTAGCCATAGTAGCCTAGGTCAATACTAACTCCGGCTATACAAATTGAAAAGTATTCACTTTATTATTGTAGTAGTGACACCATGTCCACATTTAATTATTATTATTTATTCATTAAGGTTATTATATATTATTTATATTTAAATTTAATGTATTGTTTAGGTATAAATTATTCAACGTCCATGTTAAATTAATCTTATTAAAACTGTATTAAATAATATAATAATAGTCATAGCCGAGGCCTAGCCTAAGCCTAAACCTAGTGACTGTGTGTAGTATATAAAATTATGAATAAAAAGTATAAATAAACGCAAATTGTGAGAGAATAAAGGAAGAAGGAGAATAGGAAAGATATTTTGGAGTGGGAATATACAAAAGTAGTCAATATGCCAATATCGTATTACGTTTTTGTAAACATTTTTGGGCACTAATTGTCAGAGGTCTCGGTGCCACGGCCTACACTTTTCATAATTCAACATCGATGTCCAATGTAGGCTGGCGGCACCTTGACCTCTGACGATTAGTTCCAACAAATTTTCAAAATAAAAGTGATGCAATAATGACAAAATGATCATTATTGTTTATTTTCGGTAAATATTTCAGCCACTCCAAATTTCTTTCCACTTCTTTCTTCCTATGCTCCTTCTGTTTTTTTATTAAATTAAATTTAATATACTAATATATATTTACGCATAATATTTATATAAATATATAAATAAGTATATCATTTTCATACATATTTACATATTTTAACTGGATTCTAGATCTAGGCCTGTGTATACATAGTGTCTGTAATTAACATAATTCAATCATATTGTTCTATCATATTGCTTTATTTAAATATTATCAAATATTTTTAACCTTTAACGATTACATTATTTCATATAATATTTTCAAATAAATGTCGAAACACTTCTAATATTAAATTAAAACTCTGAAAGTAAATTTACGTAGATTAGATCAATAAAAATGGACATAGTAGTAATCCTTATATATTCATAAACAAGAATAACTTTTTCAATCTTCTAATCAATTTTATACAGCCGGAGTTAGTTTCGACCTAGGTGAACCTTGCTAAAAAGGTACACTTTCTCCATCAAAAGGCTTTTTCTATGAATAGAATGACCTGTTCGAAGCACGAACTCCTGTAGACCAAACCCAATACCGAAATCCACTCACGATGCAAAAGAAAAGGTAAAGCCAAAAGAAAAGATAAAGCCAAAACTCTCGGAGATAAAATAGCCATGAAAGTTGCTCCTGATAGAACCATTGACCCTGCCATTTTTATTCCAAAGATTCCTTGTTGTGTCAAATCGGGAGATCTTACATTAGAAGATGTAATGAGTAAGTAACTTAGTCCATTTCCAACATCACTTTTTGAGACTAAACATTTTTAGGAAGGCCAACAAACCACAATTTGTTCAAGTTGTTATAGATCATGCAAGTAAGCTGTCAATTACTGCAATCTACGACACTGTACCGGAAACTGAATGTTGTGATCTAGATGGAGGCTCCCTTTTACATCACTTATGGAAGAGAGGAGACAGTTACGGCACAATTGTACGGGCATACTCAGAGTTCGTCAGGAGAGAGTATGGATTGGCAACTGTTGTATTTGATAGTTGATGGGACTCCTTCTATAAAAGACAATACCTATCAAAGAACAGGACAGAATATCCACCCAGATGTAAACTTTACGGCTAATACCGAGCTTGATGGCAAAAGGGATGAGTTCCTTTCAAGGCATAACAAGCAGATAAGATAGTATAATACATACTCAAGTATCAAAACGCACGCCATTGTGTCGGGATTCAATATTTCGACATTAATGATGTCATCATCAGGATAACAAGCAGAAGTTTATAAATATGCTCTCTGCTGAACTTCAGAAAAGAAATTGTCCTGTAATACAAGCAAGGAACAGTGCTGACGTGGATATAGTGTAGCAGCAGTAGATATTTCCCATCATCATACTGTAACTTTGTATTGGAGAAGATACAGACTTGTTGTTCTTCTCTATCATGTCAATACAGACGAACGAGAGGTTTACTTCAGGTCGGACAAGACAAAGGATACTAGGGTAAGGGTAATAAATGTAACCCGCATAAAATCCGCCTTTGGAAATAAAGTATGCCTTGCATTGCCATTCAACATGCTTTTACGGGTTGTGATTCAACATCTTGCATTTTTGGCATCGATAAAGAAGGCAGCTTTCCAGAAATTGGTGGAGGGGGATTAGATTCTTAGATTATGTGCTGAAGCATTTAGTCAGCCAAATCAGAACAGTGATATTATTGTGGAATTTGTAAGAAAGGCTATGGCTATCCTTTTTGGGACTGAATCCATTGATTCACTTGATAGCTTCAGATGTAAGCAAGAAAGTTGTTGGGGGTTAACGATTGTGACGCCTCAGCAACTACCTCCAACTTCATCTGCCAGTAAATTCATTGTCAACTTTTAAAAATCATCCATTGCAATTGCATTACTGGATGTAAAATACCACGTTGCAGATGCTATGGGTTGGCATGCATATCAGCCTGTGGAGCCTGTCAACTTAAGGGATGTGAGAATGTAGAGAAAGTAATAGATGATGAAGAGGGAGAAATGGAAACATGACTATTGATTTATCGTAAACTACAAAATACATTAAATATAGCAAGCCTGGTCCTTAATTCCAGTCTACTTGTTGGTATAACTGTTAATCAATAGAATCTTAGATGACAACTTTCTTTGATTTGATCAAAAAATGACGACACTTAAAATTGCTAAAGTAAGTACTGATTTATGACTGTTTATACATGGAGGCCATCTTGGACGCCATCTTGAATTGATTTATATTGATTATATCACATTCTAAATTGTCTGAAATGATTTACTGACCCAAAAAACTTGATATTGTTTTAAAAAGATAGCGATTATATCACAATTTGTAGCCATTTTGGCCATCTTGGAAAAAACTACTTTCCGGTGGTCGGATTTCATAAGACTTTTTTTTATGTTATTTAGCACACTCAATACTACCAAAATCCGTTGAAAAACCTTTTGTTGCAATTTTTTGGGGGTTAAACCTTATTTCTACTGAACTAGTTATGTATTCAGTATTAACCAGATTAATCATCTTATTACAGGCCACTGCTTCAGCATCATCAGTGGAAGGTATGATTAAATTTAATAAATGAGACAGCCATATGAAATTATTATTACTATTTATTGAGCATCCTTCGATCACTTATTTTCAAAAACATTGACTGTTAGGTGAGAATGAAATAAACAACTATTACTGTTGTCTTTTCTAACAAGATTGCTTTTTTGTTTACCTTTATTGTTAGTGTAATTATTGATATTATTATAATTTCATTATTATTATTTTATTTGGCACTAGGGCTAAGAATATGCCACAACAGTGGACTAGCTTAGTCTTTAAAATGGCAATCCTGTTACAAGACAAGCACACACACACACACAAGATTCTACGTAGACTGTCTCATTATGAGTTGTTTTGGTCGTGAGAAAAAAATCCTGTTACTGTGACAAGTATTGAAACCAGGATGATAGGCATGCAAGCATCTAAACCACCAAGCTATCCAACTCCACTCTAAATTTTTATGTTTATTGTGCACAAAAATTATTATTATCATTATTGATGTTATTATTATGATTATTAGTGATGGTAATTATATTGATAATGATAAGGGTAGGCCTAATGATGATGGGTACACTGATTAAGATGATAGGAGTGGTAGTGATTAATAGAGATAGAATGATTAGGGTGATAATGAGGATTCAATGATGAATAGGAATAGTGATTATTAAAGATGTTGATGGTCGATGGGGGTGGTCATGATGATGTTGATACTGATGTTAGTGATGATGAATTTAATGGGGATGATATAATGATAATACTGAAGATGCTTTGTATTAGATGTTGAATTTACACAATCCATTCCTTTATTTTTATATCTAGAAATTAATTTTAAGTTTCTCTTTAAAGATTCCCAGCGGAAAAGAATAGATGACAGTGTGATAGAAAAGATAGTACAAGTAATGAAAGGCAAATCTATAAAGGATAATTCATTACGGATATGGGACTATGGAGGCCAACTAATCTACCACAGTATTCACAGGGTATGTTGTATAGTAAAATACTGTAGTAATAAACCAATGTGTGGGAGATGACAACCTTCATATTGTCCAACTTAGCTTAACTGATGTCATAAAATCAACTTATGTATTCCAATAAGACATTCAGAAAGTGGCCCACACCTTCTGGAATGGTCTTTGGGCTGATAGCTTAGCACTTGAATCCAGTGCATAAAATGTTGTTCCCCTGCACTGTGAATACCTTGTGTGGTCAGTTAAGTTGAAAGAAAGTATGCTGCATGTCATATGCAAGGAAAATAATATCAGTACACACAAAGTAGCAGTAAAAATCATTGCATGCACTATACAAAGTTTTAAGATTACCCCATGATCACCATCCATAATGGTGATCACTCAAAGATCTTCATGCTCATAAGGCCATGGGGGCCAGAGGTATCTCCTCGAGCTACTTGAAATTAACAGCAGGAAAAATAAGTAAGGCGTTAACAATAATCTTCCAACACTCATATTGTGTATTTGCGTGGGTTCGAATCCCATCCTCGTTGCTAATTATGTATTTGGTGTCCGTTGCCAAGACGGATGATTCCTAGGATATTCACACAGAGTAGTTATCACAAAGTACTAAAGGTGTTCAGCCATTTTGGGAATATTTGTTAGCCTTCAATCCAGTCGTTTTACACTTTCAGTTAATATGAATATATTACACATATGACACTGTAATCATTCCTAATGTTATTTAATCCAATATATCTTCAATCTAAAAAATAAGTGGGATGAGCCTATACCCTCTAATTATTGACCCATCAACTTAACATCCTTGGTCCTGTCTGCAGGGAGGGATTTTCACAGGTGGAGACCACCTCAGCTCCACTATGGTTGGGGCTGAGGTAAGAAAATTTATAATTATAGCACTTCTAGATGGTCAGAAATGGCACTCTCAGACTTAAATTTTACTATAATTCCCTTTTTTCCCATTTCCTTTTTAATTTTGAAAATTAAAAAAATATGGGGTGGGGCCGGGCCGGCTGTTGCACTCTTGTATACCACATTTGAAATCAACACAGTATAATCAATAATTACTCCTCTAAAAACCGAATGTTAATGAGGGGCCTGCAGGCCATTTTATTCTTAGAACATTTTTGAAATTACTTGAAATTATTATATTTAGGTCTATTTATGTATGGGCCCCTACAAGCTTTGCACTGGCTGCACTGCCTGTAGCTATGCCACTGTTGATACAAGGTTGTCATGTTTTGTTTTGCTGCTGAATTTTGAGCCTCAGCTGCTAACTCATCAGCTCGTTTTCTCTGTCTTGTCTTTTATGTTTCATTTTACATTCTGATCTTCTATTTGTATTCACCTCTCAGTCTTCCCTTCACTCTTTAGATTTTATAATTTTAAATATATATGCCTTTTCCAGATCACTTTGATCTTCAATGAAGTTTCCCATAAAAATTTTATTTCTTCTTGGAGCAATTGAATTCGGTTTTTTGGTGTTCAATCGTTTTTTTTTGGTGTTGAATCGTTTTTTGTTTTTTTTTACATCATCTTTGAGCTTGCCAACATCAAGCCTTTTACGACGGTTCCATTTTTGCGTAACTGTTGTCAGTTTTAACTTAATCTTGTTCCATACCAGCTGATGGTCACTTGTCACGTCTGCTCCTCTGAGGGTTTGGTGTCTGTCACAGGATCGAATGTAGGTAAGAATGGCCCCGGAAAAAATGGCCCCAGAAAAAATGGCCCCAGAAAAAATGGCCCCGGAAAAAATGGCCCCGGTAAAAATGGCCCCATATGACAGGTAAGTAAAAATGGCCCCAATGAAAAATTCGGTAATAGAAATGATATATTTTTTTTAAATCTTCAAATATTTAAATACTTTATAAGCAAGAATTGAATCAAGAAATAAAAAATGGCCCTCAATTATAAAATTCAAGAAAAAAAAAATTAATAATAAATAAATAAATAAATGCTGTAAAATACCCTGTAGCAAAAATTTAATTAATAAATCAACATAAAGAATATGCATATTTGAGAACTAAAATAAATTAGTTTTTGTTACAATACTGTAACTTACAAAGCAACTTTAAAAAAATAGTAACATTGCATGCGTTAAAAAAGATGCTGTTAAATTAGTATTAGAAACTTTTTAGTAGGAATACATATATACTATAAAGGACACAAATGACTGGCTCAAAATTGCTCCTCTAGTGTAACACTTTTATTGCTTGTTCACAAACCCTGTTTGATCACTTGCATTTGTTTGCGTGGTAACTGTAAATAACAATAAAATTACATACTGTATCATCATGTCATTAATCATTTGCATAACTACCATAATAGAGCATAATTACATTCGTATGTGAATTACCATACAAGACATGAAAACATCATATAGTGCTGGATTATTATAATTGTACTATAACATTAACGATTGAACTTGTGAGATATGATAAGACTTACAAAGCTGTGAGCCACGATAACTACTGTACTATAGTGTAGTGAATTCAGCATTATCTTCACCTAGAGTATGAATAAATACGTAAGACGTTCTAATATAAAGTCAAAGATAACAACTATAAAATTAAACATGTTATTCTCCGTTTCCAACTATTCTAAGGGGTGTACGGTAAGAATGGCCCCGGAAAAAATGGCCCCGGAAATAAAGGCCCCGGAAAAAATGGCCCCGGTAAAAATGGCCCCATATGACAGGTAGGTAAAAATGGCCCCAATAATCAAATTCTGTATTAAAACTGATTTTCTTGGTTCAATATATGCATTTTTTTTATCTTAAATAATTTAGTTATTAAAAGGAATCTAACATTAAAACAAATTGCCATTTACATTTTACTTTTTGCAAGAATTAACATTCAATGATAAAATATTCAAAGATACCCTCTTAATTTCAGAAAAGAGTGGGTTCTTTTCCAAACTAATACATCCTGCCTAATATTGTGTGTTTAGATTAGATCTTTTGCTTTAACTTTGGAAATTGAGATCATTTTAGATACTATTTCTGTATAAACTAAATTTTTTTTTCATATTACTCTAAACCTAATGGGTTTTGATAAATTTACTCTGCACTACGGAATTTCCAATAAAAAAGAAAATTAATTAAAAAGACCATAGATTAAAAATAAGTAAGGCGTAACCATGGCGTAACATACTTTTAATCTATGTTACAGCATAACTATTTTTACATAATGAAATTTAGTAAATCAAATTATTATTTGTGGCTTTTATTTATTAAATCAATTAAAGAACATAATCTCAAAACAAAATTTAATGACAAGAAAGATCGACGTTTCGGGTCCATCATGGAACCATTCTCAAGATCAAGTAAATTGAAAAAACTAAAAACAAAAATACCAAGCAGTGACAGGAAGTAAGTAA